GTTTCCTCTGGCCACTACGAAACATTTCCTGAAATTAATGAATGATCCATTGTGAGGAGTGGCTGGTGGAAAATGGCGTGACCAGAGCTATTCACCAATTCCACTGTATGTGCTCAGCGTTACCATTATAATCAACCACAACTTTTCAGTGGAAGAAATTTCTATTTATGCAGGGAGGTTTCTGGAAATCAGAGTTAAAGTTAGAACTGTCATGTGGTTTTGATAATTATGCGGTTAAGAGAGACAGGGGTGTGCGGGGAAAAAAGCCCCCAGAAGCTACTGAAAGGCTTTAAACAACTTCAAATACTAAGAAATCAGTAGCTGGAACTAGAAGAGAAAGTAGAAGTATTTTAGAGAAGATCTTTATAATGGTTTCGATATCAATTAGAAGCAGAATAAATCAGGATGGACCTATTCAGATATCAAATAAAATTAGAGTGGGTTAGACTGAATCGGTGATTTCCCTGTACTCACCATTTCTCCACAGTATTTTCTCCATCTCCCCGGCCCCCTCTGCTGTTACCCAGCGGCTGTTGCACTTTGCCTGCTCCGGCTCCACCACATCAGCCTCCCAGAGAAGCCTGTGGGATAAAGGAAGCCTCTCACACACCGGTATCTGAAATTAATATTACTAAACCGTAAGACATTAGTAAGGACTACGGTGAGTCTGTTAATAGCGTATTCCCTCCACACTCTTTTGGAAATATCTATATACCACAGAGTGTATCATTCAACACAGTCTATCCTTCTTATTTTACAAAGGAAAACGTCCGCACAAGTAAAAAGATCGCAGGAGTAGATGTCTTTTCTAACAGCTTTCTTCTAGCCTAATCGGAATCTACAGTGGTCTGTTCCTGGCATCTTTGTTATGCAAATCTTTTCACTGCAGAAAAAAACTCGGCTTTACCGCTGACCTTCATTTTGGCTGGGGTAGCAGTGACATCCAGCGGTTCCGCGAGAGAAAGAAATGTGCTCATTCTTCTCTTTCTACCAAAGTGCATCACAGGAAACGCTCAGAAAACGGCAGGGATCCCTTGGCATTCCATTCCTTTCGTGGATATTTGCAAATGGTACCAACCGCAGGCAGTTTGACAGCCGTGGGAATGGACAACCCACGCAGGGAAACACAAATGCAGAACGGGAAATAAACAGAAAACACCCTCTGAGGCAGATGAGCTTTCTAATGGCTTTAAAAGGACACCGCAGATAGGAAGTGTAATTTAATTTAAATGTAATTTTAATGTAATTTAAAAAAAAATATTTTTAAACGTTCAGGTAAAAAGAACCTTCCTATATTACACCTACCCCATTGACTTCACAGCATTTTTCGTCTTAAAGGAAATCTTCCACCTTTCCTTATTAACCGTGTATTTGTACTGAAAAAAATGAAGGAGCTTATAAACAAGGGAAAGTTGATTGAAGATAAATTACTACAGGGGAGTTTTGTTTCTCAAGCCCAGAATAAACAAACTTTCAATTATTGGAGTTTCCAGTAACTAGCTCAGTGTTGAACTGTGATGTGATATTTGATGCACTGAGAAGTAATTCAGATTTTGTGTACATGTGTTAAAAGAGAAAAAAAAAAAAAGCTCAAAACATTAAATGCATATAAGGAACTGGGCCAGCAGAGGTAGCTGTTGGTACAATAAAAACAACTATGAAAAAAATTTTTTTAAATGAAAGATTTTTTTCCAACAAACATTCTACATTTATAAAATAAAACATTTTTTTAAACCAGGTGGTCAGACCTTGCAGTCTCCAGCATTGGAAATTCACTTTGAATTCATTTGTTCCTCCTTTACTCTTTTGCTGTAATTTTTATTTCTTCGAGACTGCCCATTTCCGATTCCTGTTAACTGTTCCTAGCTCCAGGCACGGCGTATTTTCTATCCTCTCCATTTGTATTTTGTCAACATGGAGTTCAGAAAGGATAACTCAACTCCAAATAATCCCAAGGCTGGCTTAAAAAAAAAAAAATCAGATTTATGAATAATTCTTCAGAACATTTTCAAATATCATTTGGACCTTTTCTGGCTCCAAATTTTGACTTGATCTCTGAAAGACAGGATTAGAAAAGTTTGAAATGTGGGTAAGCCTATGTAACTTTCAAATCAAGAAGTACACTGTCCCATTAGCCGTTTATGGGAACTATCACTGTTAATAGCAGAACACACTCTCCCAGACCTAGGTCTGATGTGACTGCCATACATAAGCCTTTGCTGAAGCTGACAGAGCAGAGGACTTTCAGTCTCCACGAGTATTTTAATAAACGGCCTCAAAAGGACTTCATAGGTCTTTCCAAAAATGTTTGTACACTACAGGAACATTTCATCGTTGCAGCATTAGTGATTTGTATGTTTAACAGCCATTACATTTCAGCTAAACATTCTGAAGGCTGGACATGGTGGCTTCCTGCTTCTGTTTCCAAGATCACAGAACATGGTCCCCTTGGGTGGGCTATCAGCAGGGCTGCAACCCCGTGGCATCCTTGACATCATCTAGGACTTTCTGCAGTCTGACTGAAAGAACCGGGGCCAGCTCTGTCAGAGCGGATGGAATTGTGCATACACAAAATTGCAAGTAGGTCCTCTCCAGATTTAGCAGGTTCTAAAGGCACTTCACTTTATCTTAAATTTCTTGGAATTTATCTGACTTCCATCCCATTCTCCAAGGACTGTTTATGCTTTTCGCTTTTGATGTTTATGTGAAATGCATAAACAGCCCTTGGAACAAGGCCTAAAGTCCAGGACTAAGATCAGTACTTTCTTCGACTGTCTCTTTGTGCAAGATCTGTCCTCTGCAAATGGCAAAGCTTTCCAGTTCCCACTGGAAAGAAAACTCAAAACTCAATAGGAGCCATGATCCTGAATTCTCCTCCTATTGTAAGGAAGATCTTTGTTTTAGTAGCATCTTGCAACTGTAAGGAACAGTAGGTCCCACCCATTTCTTTCAGCATCTCTTTTGTGTTTCCTACCACTTGCACTCCAAAGTAGCAACACAACTACTGCAGACAAGTGGCCACTTAAACAATGCTTTGAACTTTGCAGGTTTGTAGAGGAAGAGTTTTAGGTGCCTTGTGTCAGGCAAGCACTCATGATACCAGTATTTCCTTTCAGTGCTAAAACCCAGGACAGAAAGCCCTTAGGCACAGTTCTTTATTTCATGGAGCAAACTCTTGGCTGTTGTCTGGCTGCTCTGGATGCCATCCAGAGGAGCCCACCTCCAGTCAGTCATTTTATGTCTTTGAGCACCGAACAGCTTTTTGACACTATCTTATGGCCATACTTACCCAGGCAGCTCAGAACATGGACAGAGACAACACATGGTTCTCCGCACCTGTCCATGAATCCTAGGAGAGCCTTTATAGAGAAAGCCCGTATCATGTAGTCAATTTGCTGTAGACTTTGCTGCTCTAGTCTCCAAACTCCTGTTCCTTCCTCCATCCCCCAAAGCAATCAAACACAAATTTCAACTGATAGTAGCATACATGAGTCCGATTTCCATTTAGTTTTTAAATGAAACATCTTGGTAAATATATGGATCACTCAGAATCCTCACTGCTAGTGTTGTTTCAGGGAACTGTGAAGAACAGACTGTGAAGAGCACCTAAGTATTTTTAGTTGAAATTAGTTCTGCCTGGACATAAATATATTAAAGAAAAAGGTCAGGAGTTCATCCCTAATGATGCCATTTTAAAGCCTGCATAACTGATTTAACACAGACCAAGGCCAGGCCTCACTATTTGTGAGGTTTTAGAAGTTTTGGCATTTAGGTTTCATATAGTCAGCATCATGTATGACCATTTTTTGCACACAGCTCAACAATACAGATGGATAGGCACTGGCACACAGAACAAAAATAGTAGTATTACCAAAGTTTCAGAGGTGCAAAGTATCCCTGCCCTCAGTACCTATGCTACATGAAGGTTTCATTAATTTTAAGGTCAGAAGAAAGCAGAATGACAGTTCAGACTGACCTGCTGCCAGGACAAAAGAATCCTTCCCTTTAATTCTTCTGCTAGCTTTGTATGTTCCAGCCCACACATTTTTACAAAGTTACCCATCCTTTTATATACACCAGCTAATGAAGGATACACAACACTTGATAATCCTCTCCAAGTGCAATGTTAAAATTTTCTTTAGACTTTGAAACATCAGCACATTTGGAAAATTCATGCTGTCCTGTTCATACTTCAGTCTAGGTAGGTATATTTGCCTATGTATGGTATTGGCTCTCATGGATCATATTGTGCAACACTACACACTACTCCTACTACTAGGAGTAACAGCCCAGCCATTCTACTGCAGAACTTAAGCCAGGATGGGAACTACCTAATCTGTTCTCTGATATTGTTCCTTTTTTTTTTAAAGAATCTTAAACAAAAGAAAGAACTTGCCCTTGTGCCACAATTATCTTCTGAAGTGAACATCAGATGTCTTCAATCTTCCTTGCAGGGAATCGCACAAATTGCTGGAAGAGCTAGAGCCAGTAGTTAACTGACAAGAAACTTACTGAGTAGATATAGTGGTATGTCTTCATGGCAGACTCTCAGAATAATCTAGACTGACAGGACTTAGTTTTTTAGAAACACAAATGTGTTTACATGTTAATGAAAAAGCAAAAAGCCAAGGCATTTAATTATGAAGTTTTATTATCCTTCAACTTCAGCTAGTACTCCATTACTCCATCCTTAGCAAAGTTTTTCTGCCCTAGGTAGACAGGTTTTCAACTGACTGTCTCTGACTGAAAACATCTAGGCTAGGTCAGGTTTTAGACCCAGCCTTTCATTAATACAGTCAGACACAAAAGAGCGAACCTGAAAGGCTGCAAAGCAACAAAAAAAGATCCAGGAAGATTTCCATCATTTTCTATGTTTGAATAGAGAATCTTTCCTCTGCATTGATCACTAAATAGTTAAGAAGCAATTAAACTGCACGTTCAAGAAACAGATGCATTCTACATTTCAAGCTGTGATCAGAAACGTGCAACTATTTTTCCGCTTATGAAGCTTGTGGTTTTATCTTCTCAGCAGCTTCAAGGACAGACGGAAGGCTGACTTTGTCTCCAAATTCTTTCTCACGATGCTCCAGTAAAACGCCCTAGTCAAAGACACAAGAGAGAAATTCATACACTTGTCTCCCCACGGGAGATCAACAGACCAGCAACTGAACAATTCCAAGAAACTTCTGGTCTCACAGGAGACATAAAAGCCTCCTAGATGGCCTGCAATACCTGTCTTTCTGCCCCAATCACATATACTCCTCCCAGGGTGAATCCTTCTCCTTCCAGGTTACCACTATACCCACTTTTCCAAGCACGGAAAAAATTTTGCCAGACTCCAAAGCGGAAGAAGCCTGACATCATCATTTTTCGTCTGCGTGGACCATAGAAGCCTTTCTGCAGGGAAACAGAAAATATCTCAGCAAACAAAGTGAAAAGGACTTTTCCTCCCAAATGAAATTCAGGAAACCAGCCAACCCTGTATCCAAGAAAGGTCACAACACGCAAAAGGTAACCAGGCAGAGCTAAAAAGAAATTGCACCTGAACTAACCTCTTTAATGCACTACTTGACCACTCACCTCCACGCAGCCAACTAGCGGTACTGACACCATTCATGTGGATTTTAAGCTGATCCACAGGCATTTAAGCCCCAGGTACATTTACATCCCTATTGCTGACAACAAGGGTGCTTTGTGATAAACATCTTTTTTCTTATTTTTCAAGTATGACAATAAAAATACTGTTAAAGAGATAACAATGGTGCCAAGTCCTGAAACTTTATCAGCCATCTGGGGGTTTTTTTGGGGGGAGGGAGTTGAGGTTTTTGGGGTTTTGGGTTTTTTTTTGTTTTTAAATCAGCCTGATTCTTTTACACAGGCAGAGTGGGGAGGGAAAGTAAAGGCAACTTCTAGTTGATTTTGAGTATTACGTAGTCTTTTTCCTCAGAAGCCAAATGATTTCTAAATGCGTCTTCTGGGTTAAGGAGTAAGCAGGGCTGTGGTTTTGTAGGACACGAGACTGGCAATACAGCATGTGCCAGTGTACTCGGACAAGCTGCAACACTGCAATTTGGCCCGTACATCATGAATTAATTATGTCTGTCACCTTCAGACCTTGATTCGCACATCATAAACACCAGCAAGTCACACAGCCAGTGGAAGAAAGGAATAAATATTAATAGGCTATATTGTTTACCTGTTAAAGGGGAGGGGAGGAATAATCCTGCAACAGCATGTTATCAGTGCATAGCTACAGAGCAGTTTGTAAGCTGAGCACGACATATATAGAGAAAAGGAAAGCTAATTAACTTCTTAAACTACAGTGCTACTAAATCCTTTTTCATTCAGACCACATCCTAACTATATTATTTATACAAGCTCTTCAAAGAGGATATTTGTAAGCTGCTTTTTAAACAAAAGAACACCAACTTCACTATACCTTTGCATCCAGAAAGATTTCTCCTTTGAAATAATGCTGAAAATCCTCCACTTCAGTCCCTATCTTCTCTTTCACAACAGCATAGAGAGGGACACCCAGCTTGGACAGCTGAGGTTTCAGAGAGGAAAGCTCAGAAGCCTCCTAAGAAAGTGAAAAAACCCAAAGATTTCAGACAGTAGATGGAGGTTGGAAAGCTTCACCTTGAATTTCAAGAGCATAAAAAACATCCATAAATTCTAGCTTGAGGCGCAAAACAGAAACAGACCTGTTAAATCAGACATTTAAGCTAGTTCTGCTCCTAGGCAGGTCTTCATTAGATTTACTACAATTTTCTTCATTAAGCACAGAGGCAGATTTTTTGAGCATTTACTGGATAAAATACTAAAATAGTGGAGAAAACGTATTTTTAACTCAAAGCTGTAGATATACTTTGCCTGCGCTAGGGCTTCAACTATCTTTTAAAGTGTTTACAGAATAGTGAAAAGGTAGTGCCTGCACATCACTTAACTTTCCCAGTGAAAATAATCAGGGGATTTCTTCATACACCTTCAGTATATCCCAGAAGCAATACTGCTTTTTGTGGTGTGCAAGCGTGTAAGGTGTCACCACTCATCTGCTGGGTTTTTTGTGCTGCTGAAGGAATCTCATCTCCCACAGTTTGTACAAAGGCCTCCGAGGTTTCCAACAGATCAGAGTGCACACTGCAAATATGTTTCTTCTCATCTCCAGTGGAGAAAGGTCGTTTTTACTGGACAAAACTCCCACAAAGAACTCCACGCTTTAAAAAATGGACACAGTTTACGTGAACACCCTCAGCCACCTAACTGAAATGCCTTAACTCAAAGGCTTGCAGGGTATCTAGAATTTACTGAGTATCAAGTAGCAGACAGATAGGGGTGAACCGACAGGAAAAAAGACATTAAGAGAAAGTCATTAGCAGGTGAAAAGTTAAGGGCAGCTTTCCAGTTCACTACTCTGTCTTTTTCAGAGGAAATGAAAAAGGATGAATCAGCATCATAAGCCAACACTGAGTAGTGTGAGAGTTGAAGGATCATAGCTTACACTTGTTAGATCTTTCCCCACTTCTCTGTTCTTAAAGATCTGCTAATTATTTTCTGGTTTCCCTCAACGAAATGCCTTATGATCTTCCTATAAGGGGGGTTAATAGCAATTTTATCTGGGATTTTTAAAATATAGTTCAAAACTCTCATAATCAACAAAACAAAACAAACAAAAAAATTGTATTATGACCTAACATGTCCAAGAACTGATGTTCCAGGCTAGTGCAGTGGGGTCTCCTGTAAGACCAGAAATGGCTGTTTCTGGAGAGATAGCGATACCACCAAACCTTGATTAGCCTTTTGGAGAAAGGCACTTCAGCAGTTTCACGGGGTTTATTTTCTGTCTCCTTGCTTGGCTTTTGGGAGGGGAAAGAGCAGGAATAATGTAAGAGCATATTAAAATTCTCAAGAGATTAGACTTCAAGCAGCATCTTGGGACTAGACCTGACCTGTCTTTCTTTACTGCTATTTAAAAATGATACAATAAGAAAAAGCAAAGAAGTCTATTTTTGTGGACAAATTATAGTACATAACAGCTGTACAGCCTTACCATAGGGCTGTGACCATTTCATCTGGTGCGCGAAACTGTTTTCTTGTTTTTGTAAAAAGCAGACAACCACACCCTAGCAGAATACTTCTCTCCACCAAGGCAGGGCCAGCCCAAAAGAACAATTCCCATCTCTGTTTGTCCCTCTGATATTTCAGCTATGGCTCTTCTGCTACTTTAGACTGCTTGAGTTGATACCTACAATATTTAACAAGCCCATGACACTTTCATAATGACCGGAGCACTGGATCACTACATGGCCAGATCCAGACCATGAGATGTAGAAGTGCAGTCCTGTTAAACATAGCCTATCTTAAATGGAATCTGATGATTTAGGATGCAGATGATAAACGACTCCATATTTCTTAAGTCTACAGGCCTCAATTCTCAAGGATCCAAAGACATCATTCCAGTACGATTTGTGACATCCTTTGCTGTGGATAATGGAAGCATGTCCTTACCACTGATACCAGGTCGATGATCTATGAGGTAGAATGGCCACTTTCCAACCCCACCACTGTGTCCAGGGAAGTATATATATTCCCTCTTGGTGCTGTCAACAAGGACAAAGTTCAATATCCTTTCCAAGGTGTAAGACAGTGGGAAGCAAGTGTGTTTTGTCTCTTGCAAAAAAATAGAAACCCACTGCCTGCAGGTTAACACATATGGCAAGTTAACTGTATTGAACCATTCCACCAGCTCAGAGTCAGTGACAGTGGGGAAAGAAGCAGCTTTCATACTATGCAGAAACATTAATGGACAAAAAAAAAAAGGGCAACTGAACCTTGCCTCTCTTGCCTTAGGAGAAAGGCAAGAGTCAACCCACAAAAATGCTCTGAGTATACAACAATCAAAAATAACTTCAGTTTAGACAATTTAAAAGCTTTTTCAAACACTTCCACAGTTAAAATACAAAACAATTCTTTGCCCTAATTAGCTGATCAGTAGTGTGACTGCCTCTGTTAAAAAGCTGAGGTTTTGAACCAAAAATAAGAATTAGGGAATTAAATTTCTTATTTTTTTCCTGAAAGAAAAAAGAAAAAAACCCAAAACAACCCACAATTCTTTGAACTGGGCTCTTTATTTCTACTTAGGAAGTTAGCATTAAAAGAAAAAAATAAAATCATTAATGAATTCCTGTCTGACTGTATGCGAAAGGCACAGAGTCAGGCACGTAGCACGTTCTCCTCCTGCCTACGCTACACCTGTTCGGAGAGCAAAGTACTTTAATCTTTAACCTTCCACGAATTCTACACATACTTAAGCAGTTACTACTGATGGGAGCAGATCCCTTAATTAAGTGGTTACCATATTAATTACTCCATGTTATAGAGTAGTGAGTAATAACATAATAGCTATTTTTCCCCATAGCTATGAGAAAAATAATGGCCAAGGTGCAAGTTATGGCTGTTCCCAGGCACATGGTACCTTCAAATTGTATTTTAAGTGTCTCCTCCCACCCAAGGAGCCTAATGCCAACTTAAGGATCGAATTTTGTTTCCCAACCCGCCTTGTTATGAAACAGTAACTCCTTGTTTTCAGAATCCTTACCTTCCTGCCTCACATTCAGCATCCAGAACAGTGAGGGACTCCCCTTTAAGTAAATCTCTTTTTTTGCTGATGAGCTTTATCTGATGGCTTTCTGCCAGTCCAGTCTTGGGCTGCTTTTGACCAGAGACTACCTGGCTCACAGAGATTTTTTTTGGACATATGGAATACAACTAGGTCATAAGACACATTACCAGTTGGATTTTGTGTCATCTCCCTTTCCAATTAGCATGGGCTAGGTCCCTGGCAGATGTAAAAATCACGTGTCCATCGCCTTCAGAAGGAAAATGCTCAGGACCTAGACTATACAAACGAGCTGCAAAGCAAACTAAGTATGCTGTTAGCTGGCAACCAGTCTGGGCTAGGAAACAAGACCTTTCAGATACTTCCTATGTTTTTGATGACTGTCCTATTCACCCCCTTCCTTTATTTAAACGGAATCTATGCAAGTAGAACTCAACCCTTCCTAATTAATCTCCAAGCCCAGCAAGTACCTCTCTGCACAAAAATCATCCAGGTCTTCGCACAGCCATGATCACTGCACCATTCTTCTTCCACAGTTCACCTGCTTTGAATGTTCTTTGTTCTGTTTATACAGGAGAAACAGCATCAACAATAATATCAGCCATTCTTGTTTATACTGGTTAATGCTTTAAGGACCAACACAAAACATTGCAGAGAATTCCACATTCAAATACAGTTCTATCAGAAAAAAAATTCTATATGCATAACAGGGTATTATTGCTTTATTAATTTTTAGAAGTGTATCATGTTTCATCCAGAAGTATCAGTTTTGCTTGCTTTTCCTTCACCAGAACTATCTGCTATCAAGGACACCCAACTACACGTTATAACTAGGAAAGACTAAGAAAAACTCTTCCAACCCTGGCCTTACAAAGCTTCTCATAAAAGCCCAATTATCAAAGAATGTGGGCTGAAACATCCAGAATCTTACCTGATCCCAAAGTTTTTAGCTCTATCTCCTCTAAAAACTCCAACGTAGCCTTTTCTGGCTTGGACAAAAATAAGTCAGTGTTAGCAAGCATGATCCCTGTCACAGCTGCACCAACGGCTCCAAGACCAACAGACCACAAGCCCATGGTGAAGATCCCGAAGTCGGGCAGGAAGGACATTTCTGGAAAGAGAAAGAAGAAAGCAGCTCTAACACTGGACATCGATGATGCCAGACAAGGAGGAACTGGATTAAAACAACAACTAAAAGCTCACATGGGTATTTTTGGTTTGACTGGGGATGATCTGTGTATTTCTTAATATACTGAACTGGGTTTTAGAAGTTCTAGATTACATTCCAGTTCTGCGCCTGACCCACATCAAAACTATTAACGGGGTATTCTTACCTTTTCCTGCTACCAGACTGACAAAAACATTCACGATTAAAGCGCTCAGATGCAATGGGGAGAAAGATGATTGAAGTATTTGTGTGTAATAAAGAGCCTCTAACAAGATGACCTCTGTTAGCCAGTAACTTAAATTACTATATTAAGACAGTGGTTTCTTTCAAAAAGAAGCATTTGTAGATTAAATGGCTCCCCCCCCCCAATGTAGATTAAACAGTGAATTTTACAAATATACCACAGAAGAATTTTAAAAAAAAAAAAAAAAAAATCTGTATCTGGTTCACCATAACTGGTAACCTTTCCTGTTCCTTACAGTTCCACACTAGAACCAAAGCAGGCATCAAGACAAAATTAGAGCTTATCAGTCATGCCTGCAGACAGAAGTATGTTGACTTGCAACCATTTTATTAGACACAGTGATCCAACATTACAAACATGCCCTGGACAGCACCTTCTATATGCTAACCAATTTCCACTCCTGCTAAAGCAGAAACAACATCGGGAAACAACTTAAACTCACACCCATCAGTTCGAACTGATAACATTGCAGTGGAAGCCATTACATCTGCTTGCTCGAGTCGTGAAGGACAAGCACTGCTTGCTGCTACCAGTGACTCTAGTTTGGTAGTGATTTTATTTAACCACCATCCATCCACAACCCTCCACAGCCCAGTCCTGACCCTTGCACATGTTTCACAAGCCTGGAAAGGGCTGACAGCTGCCTTCCAGTGCGGCAGTCTCAGTTATGAGAACGCAGGAAAGCACACTCAGCCCTGCCTCATGGACAAAATTCAATATCCAGCTCTGAGCAATAAGTGGTACAAGTGTCACTGGAGTTTTGGCAGTATAAGAAGTCACTGTACACTTACATCACAACAGTTATGTGTTACAAAGGGCTGTAGATTTGCAGTCACCCAACTTTATATTATATTACACAATATAGAGAATCAATTTTCTTCCAGAGCCATCTGCAAAACCCTATTCCCTGATAGACTGTTTTGGTAAACATTGCCATCTGTATATACTTTTGTATGGGAGAGGGGATTTTTCCCCCTCATAAATACAGAAAAATATTACTGGTTTGAACTGTGACTGGCAATAAACCAGAGACACACATAATCTTGATCCTCACAGCTAGCTGTTGCCAGAATTCAGAAAGTAAGAACTAGGAGTAGCTCCTCGTTTTTGTCAGAGCCACGGTGCCCAAAATTTTCTGGGAGAAAATCCCTTTCCGTCCTTAAAACTAGCTCCAGCATACTACTGACAAACAAATACAACCAACTGCCTACCTGCAGAAATAGCTAGAAAACATTTTGAAAAAAAAGATCACTCTGCTCTTTTAACAGCATACTGGGTTCCAAGGAAGACAGTATCACAGTATTCAGAAACGCGAGTAATCCGTGATCCCAAGCAGGACGCAAGGCCAGTTTACACAAACACAACCCAGATAAGAGAACAGATTCTACCCCATTTCGCCACTTAGTTCTAACCAAGGGAAAATTTCCTTGACCATTATCTGCTTTCTCTACATACTTTTTTCAAACATAAAGTCATGCTGTAATAACAATTTTTTGATATCTGCCTCTGACTCATATCAGAGACCATGCTGGCCCCAGCCTTTGGAATGACCAAAATGTAACTCAAAATGTGTTGCTGTAATGCAGCAATATCTTTGCATTAAGACTTAAAATCTCTGTGGCATACCCAAAAGGCTATAGCCCTGCTCCCTCCTAGTGCTTGATTATCCAACTATTCTTTGGCCTTGAATCTTGTCTGGTCAAGAACTGTTTTTCTTTTCATTCTTAATTACAAGGCGGGGGGGGAGGTAAAAAACAAGTATTAATTCCTTGTGCATGTCATTTGTGTACAAAAATGTTGCCAAATTTGTGGCAAGTGATTAATGACTAGTACTCACGTAGCTTTTTCTTTTTATTAGCATTATTATTATTGTTAACATTATTAGCATTGCTAAAAGCCAGCTTCCACTTGGTTGTAGTTCACGGAGAGGAGATCATTAAGCTTAGTCAACACACCTCTTTAGTTTAGTTTGAATCTTTGGTCTCCACTCAGTGACAAAAAAAACCCTATTCAAATATGTGAATCTTTTGCCGTTTAAATAAACAGGGGAATGGAAGAAGCCGTTCTATATGGTGATACTGAAATTCCTCCCCTCCTAAGCAAACACCATAGTGAGCCACTTCGAAAAATACATATGGGAAACAGCAGCCAGGATTATTAAAACATTTGCTAACAAGATGGGCTGAGCCCTGCTACATCTATGTCATTGAACCCCAAGTGAAGAGACTAAATGGAAAACAGCTGAGCATTTGCAAGCAGCAGCTTCATTTCTGTTAAGCTGCTGTTTATTAAGGAAAACTGAAGCTCAAATTAACTTCACAACCCTCCACCCCACCTTAAAACGCAAACGCTACTGCCTTGTGATCAAACTCCATGAGTTTTTAAATATCAAAACGACAATCCACAATAAGAAGATACAAGAAAGCATCCCACAAACCCTAATGGATCACGAGGAGAAGACAGAACAGAGCATCCCGTAAGCTTTTAACGTTTAGGTGCACGCACTCACCGGAACCCATGCAGCCTGCACGAGCATCGGCCGCCACCAGCTCCCCCTGCTCGCGAGCACAGGCAGGAGAGAAGGCAAACTGCACGGCCACGGGTGGCGAGTGGGCAGGACTAGGCAGGAGTCCGGCTCTGGAGCCTTTGCCTTGAGGCCAGGACCTGGCTCTCGGCGTCTTTGAGCAATCCGTGCCACAGCCACCCTCCGGCGGTTACGAAAGAGCAGCTGTCCAATCCACGGCAAGGCTGTTGTAGAGGTATCTTAATCATTCAATTTTTTTTTTTTTTTTTTTTTGAACTGAACACATGGTTACCCTCTTTATGGGGTGGGTGGGTACAGGGAACAGTAATTACAGAAAGCTTTTCTGAAGCTGGGAACACAGCACTTAGACTTTAAGAGCTGCGTGCGCAACTGCTTTTCTGTAGAACTGTGCCTTTTTACAAGTAATACTTTCTCTATGTTTCAGCCTATTCTATTTCTAACCCCACACACACACGCTGCACGCCAACAATACAAAGAACCCTGGAAACAATTAAAAAGCTATCGCAATGCACAGTGTTAGAAAAAAGCTTCAATATAGAGGCTGCACTGGTGAATTAACCCGGTGTTTCTATGCAAGGCTACCTGCTTTAGTGGCAACATCCCTGCGCTGAAGAGCATCATTTTCCCTGGAACCATCAGATTTGCAAGCTCTCAACTCTGCTAAAACCTCCAGAAAGGAACGAGCGCTTCTCTTTGTGCAGACAGCAGAGGCCAAAGAAAAAAGGAAAAAACATCTTTTTCTGTGTTTTTGTGGTGTCCACAAGAGATCTCCAAGATAACAGTGAGTTCTTTTATGGTCTGTCGGTACTCAGCTAACCGGAATTTAAACAAGCTTAGTCTTAATCCTGTCGTAAGTGCCAGTTGATGGTCTTCGCTTTGTATCAAGAAGACCAGTTAAAACATGGTTTTCTAGATGTCTCATTTCCCTTCCACCCACAACCAGAGAAAAAATTGTCATTAAGAGGATAGCTATCCTTAAACATTTATTTTAGCAGTGTAAACAGGACCCATTGCAGCTGGGTCAAAGAAAACTGGAAATTCTGTGTTTTCAAGTTGTCAATAAAACTCAGGGTAGCACACAGATTTACTTACATACTTCCCCTAAGAAGACAGCTAAGCAAAAATGGAAACATTCAGTGGGCACTCTCCCAAGCTGGACTGCACTAGCACGTACACCCTGGTCTTTGGCCATCGCTTATTCTTCCCTTCTCTCCCACTCCCAACTTCCCCAAGACATTCCATATCGAGCCTAAAAATCTTTCGGAGCTTTGTCACAACTTGCATATCCCAAACATAGGTTGAGCCGATTACTTTTTATGAGACATTCCCCCCAGAAATGAGTCATATGATTACAAATATCTTTGTAATCTAAGTCCTATAAAGAAAATTTACAATTCACAATAACCTGGTAATGTGCTCATCAAGATTTCAAGAGCTTTTTAATACCATTAAGGATTACGAAATTCAGCATCCTGACCAATCTTCAAAATTAGCGCTGCTATAAGTGGGGATTTGACTGGAGAAATTTCAGAGGTCCCTTCCAACCTAAATTGTCCTTTAAATGCCAAAATCAATGCACAAAGAAGCCTCCTAACGTATCTGATGGCATGAACGTAAGTAATTTTCACAACACGAGGGATTTTTTTCTTTCCTTTTCACCATTGCCAAGACCCTGTAACAAACCATTCCTTGTGTTGAGAATAACAGTCATCTTTTTTGGTTTCTTCCCAGTCTGCGCACGTTTCGTTACTGAATTCAGTTACGACACTGTGCTTGGCTCTAGCTGAAGAGAAGGTTCCTGCGTCAAGCAAGCAAACCATACTCTTCCTTTGAAAGGAAGTTAGTTGTTAGACGAAATAATCTCCACCATTCTGAGAATGTTTTAGTGAAACCCAACATCTCAACAACCCTTTTCTTTTGAGCAAGGGAGAGCAAAGAGCTCTGGCACAACACTTTTTGGAAATCTTCCAACTCTCTAGGTGTATTCAGAGAGAACAGGCAGCTAGATACCACATATGGGAAAATTCAAATCTCTGCGCAACCAGTGAAACCGAGATACCACAGAGATGGGAGGAAGTACTGGAGCACAGAACTGCAAAAAGTACTTATGTGGAGATAGTACAGGCTAAACTCACTGTGGGGACTGCTGGGG